AAGGAGACGCCACTGTCAGTCAAATCCGAGCGAATCACTCCCACACAGTTCTGATGAAACAGAGCTGAGGATGTTTTGTTCCAAATAAGGATTACGGCTTCACATTTTTTAGTCTAGATGAACATTTACCTTCTAAAAAATAGATACCTTTGACCACAAGACTTGAATGTAGTTTACCAAAAATAAGAGTTTTAGGATATTACTTCTCAGTCATTGAAACCAACATTTTTTTTCCTCTACAACATAAAATGGAAATTTAAGAACCACTTAGAGAGGAATGTTTTCATTCTCTACTCAGAGTCGAACAATGAGTCATCCAGATTGTGTTGTTTGAAGATAAGCTACCAACAGTGAGCAGAAGAGTCACGATGAATAATGTTAATGCCATTAACATGTTAAAATGTGCTCAGACAAACTTCCTTTGTTGCCCAAGGGTTGTTGGAGGGTCCCCTCTGATTTCTTTTTAATTGTAACATATTAAACATAACCAACACAAAAATGCCAAATATTCCCAACAGTTATTATTTCTGGTAAAAAAAAAACAAGCACGTTTCAGTTTCCAAAATATGATGATTAAAAAATACGATCCTGTTAGGGGTTTGTGTTTTCCTATCACCTCGACAGAGAAAAAGAAGAAAACTAGCCAAAAACAGTTTTTACAACAACTAACCTAATTTTACACTAAACTAAGCAATTACGGTTTTTAAAATTAGATTTTATAACAACCTCCTTCTGCAGTAATGGGACCACAGCATGAGATTAACTGCAAATGTATGTGGAGCCAAATAACACTGAGTAAAGCTGACATTTGGGGGACCCTTGATAGTGGCTAACAATGCCAGCTTTGGATTTATTACCTCATAAAGAAAACCCAACTGTGCCATTGAATTTTATACAGTAATTTTTAATACGGCAAGTTTTTTATGTTGAGTTACCATTAACCATGTAACATGGAATAAAGAATGTACTGGAATTCCTCTCAAAATGCTGGCATGGGATTTGAAACACAAAGTAGCATCTTAACTGAAAGAGGAGAAGCAGAAAGAGGAGAAAAGAATAATTCCACATCACCTAAGTCAAATTCACTTTAGTTGTGAACAGTTTAATCAGATTGTGCACAAAGGATTTCTGCACATAGCGCTCTAAACAGCTCAGCTAACCTGGTTCTGAACAATACAGAGATGCAAGTTTAAACCTGGAAGCACAAAAGCCTGCGGAAAAATGTTCCACTTACTGCTGACACAACAGAACAGATTTAGACATTAAGCGCTTTGCAAAAATGTAGACAAAAAAAAGGTAGAAAAATGCAGTGTGCTGACATTGTGAAGAAAAGAGAGAAACTGTTTATCACATTTAATCTACCAATGAGCATTATCCATGAAATTTAAAAGCAGTGAAATTCATGGATCGTGTTTTTAGTGAGTGTGGGCACTGTGTGAAATGTGGGTCCACTGTGTGCAGCTATGAACATCCATCAGTCTGTTTTATTTTATTTTTATACTCACTTAATCCAGGTCAGGGTTTCAGGAGAAATGGAGGGTATCCCGGGCGACATTCCACAAGACGGGGGACACCTGGACAGGTCAGCCCCCGGCGTGTGCTGACCCACTACCGACAATGCACTGAGATATGGATGAGAAATATGGATAATATTTTCTTTTGCTACCTCTGGGCTCTGCAGGGTAGCTGTAATTTCTGACTCCGTCACTCCTCGCAGAAGGATTTTACCTCCGGTACCAGACCACCCCACCTCCCCCCCCCCCCCCACACCTCCATCTCGCTGAACTCCAGTGGAAACAATGTGTTTTCACAGGCTCTGCTCCTGCTCCCCGGTGTTTGGCAAAGCAATCGAGCTGTGCCAGAGTGATTTCAGCAGCTTTTACTCTGCAGAGGCCAAAGAGGCCATGTGGAGAGAAGAGCTCGCCCTTATCACACTGGATTTGCCCATGAGGGGAAATAGAGAGGTATAAAGAGCTGAGGGATAAAGAAAGGAAGGAGGTTCTGAGTGCGAGCCAGTATATCAGTCTTCTGGATTCTACAAGCCGCCGGGCAGGAAATGAGGCGAAGGACACCCACTGACCTGCAGCCACTTGCCGCCTCTCTGCCTATCTCTGAAACAATTTGAACAGCTAATGGAAGCGGGCTGATCCTCTTTCCATGGCGTACGGCGGGCGCTGTGACTCATACTGCTCATTTCTGATTAGAGCTCCTCGGGCTTTAGAAGTAATCTGCCGCAGACAGAGGATAGACCCAGCCAGTTATGTTATTATACATATCTATCAGGCCTTGTATGTGCGGAACAGACCGGGCGTGCACACTTTGTTTGTGCGTGATGGCTCTGAGAGATGGCCGACAGGAAAGAGGCTGAAGGTCTGTGCAGGAGGAGAGGTCCAGACGGAGGGGTCAGCGTGCGGGGGGGGGGCGGTGAGTGGGGTAGAGGTGCTGACTGACCATGTCCATGACACGGTGTGGACAGGATGCTGGGAGTGTGACAGCTGCAGTGAGGCCCCCTTCACCATCGTCTGTGTTGCAACCGGGCGGAAACCTCATCAAAAACACACTTTGATAGGGAAACAAATAGTTACTGAGGGAATCCGCTGGAAAACACTCGTCTTATTTACATGCTTGAGGTGCGGTGCTGCCGTGGAAACACAAAGCCTGTGTTAAGAAGACAATGTTCTAAGTTTATCTTTTGATCCAACATCTCAATACCAGTGCCCTTTTTAATCCTAATTTTAGTTTAAATCGCCGGGCTATTTTGGAGCTGAAGGAGCGGAAGGACATGGTTGATCCATCATTCATTCTTTTATTTAAATCGGCCTCACTGGGACCGTTGGTTTACTCACTTCCACTCCCTGCAGACTAACCGAAGGCTGTGTGGAAAAAAACAGGAAGCATCCTCCACATTGTGTAAGGGCCCAGCTATTTATTTCTAATATGATGAGTCTGCTAGAAGCAGAAGTCAACTATTTGTTTTGAACAGGAGCACACAAAGAAAACAATTTAGACTGCAGTTAACATTCTTCTACAATTTCACTCCTCTTGAATTCATTATTTTTTAAATCTTTTTTGCCAGGTTAAATAAAACATATTGTCATGTATGAGAAAATATAACTGATTACAACAGTGGTTGTCAATTGTACAAACAAATAAAATATGCATAATGTTTTTTTCTTTACAACTCTATAATCAGCGTAAAAATAAAGCGCCCAGCCTTGAGTCTAAACAATTGATTTTTTTCTACCATCATTTCGATTGCCAAGATCATTAACATTAATTAGAAAGAGTCAAAGCAGACAAAAAAGAAAGAAAATCTCTGAATCTTGAAGCCTAAATCCTTAAAGCTTGTGAAAAGACTCTGCTTTATGAATAGTCAAAAGGCAAAAATCTTAAGCGATGTTGTTGCAAAATTTAAAAAAAAAAAAAGATTTTTCCTCTTATTTTTCTGGGTGAAATGGTAATTAGGTTAAAAGCGATGATCTTGCTGTTCATCAGCATGTTTCCTGCCTTGTTTCCCCCTTAGCTACTGGTGACTTAGATTGCTGGAAGAAAATTTGAAAAGGAATCTGGTATTTTTAATTCAGTGTGTTCACTCCTATTTCTCTTCAACTCCCGCTGCCCACAGCTGTTACTCAACTTCAAAATGGGGATCTTAATGAGATGTTAATGTCGCCTTTTGCAGCTTTCTCAACTCAGTGATGGTATGATGCACTTCTTAATGCCATGGAAACTTTCCTGAGAAGCCATAAAGCTTTTTTCTTCATTAGAAATGTTAAGCAACTCAAACAATAGTGTGTTATAGCTGCAGGGTCTGTTGTGTGTGTGTTGTTTGTCCTGAACGCAGCAGTCAGGGTTGTCGTACTGTATTAGCTTCTGGCATGACATCATGAGGCTCCCTTTGCCTTTGCTTTGAAAACAGGCATGCACTTAGATCTTATGAAATCTCTGCAGAGGAACCATTTTCTTACAGCTGTGAAATTCCAAGATGAGGAGCTCTTTGTTCTGTTGAGTCATGTGGGGACCCAGAATAAATTACCAGAAAATACTAATTTTGCATCAAAGAGTAATTAATTAGCTCAAAAGGTCCAGAACTGGGAAGGTGGTGAGATAAAGATTTTCTTAAGCATGTCAATGAAGGCCATCGCTACCGCAGTTATTTTTTAGGTTCATCAGAAGGAAATTAATGCTGGGTTAAAGACTGTTTCATTTTCCATTAAAGACCCTGTGACATCATTTTGCCAACAGGATCCAAATGATTTTCAGTAACATTGGAAAAAGGCTCATGCCTATACTGCCATCTTGTGGTTGTTCAGGTGACATAAAGAGAAACCAGGAAACCAGCCAGAGGGAAAAATCTGTTCTTGCATAGGTCAAGTAGGAAAACAGGTAACAGGTGAACAGATTCTTGTGTTTTTAGGTTTATTTTTAAGTTCTCAACAATAAAAATACATGAATAATTCGCTTTGAAATATGGCTTACAGGCCCACTTTTTCACCTAAACAATATCTGCATACAAAACAATCCAAACCACAAAAAGCCTTCATTTTTTCCATTGATTTAAATTAATGTGTCAAATTGGTTGGTATAAAAAAAAAAAAAAACAATAAGAAAGTTTGACTGCAATTGTTGTCAATGATTAGTTTCCTCATTTCAGCAAAAATGTAGTAAAATGAACATGACCTGAATGGTGATGGTATGGATATATAATCTGTCCACGGAGTTATTTACCATAGCTCTGATAGTGTATTTGAAATTAAGAGGAAGGACAAAAATAAACAAAAAGACAAGTCAACTCATACATGAAACAGAAAACATCTTTGCAAAAGCTCAGAATGCACTAATAAAGAGTTGTTCCAGGGTCACAGCTGCCTCCAAGAACATGCAACCACAGCTTTCTTTCACTTGTTACTAATATGACCTGGGAAATGACCTTTCAAAAAACAATACAGAGAAGGGAATGATACAGTGTGCTCACACAGCTGCTGTCTTCTCTTGGCTATGGGGTAAAAGCACAACTTTTCATAACAAAAGCCGGTGTCAGGAGATCAAATAAAGAGGTGCTGGGCAGGAGCTGTGGTGGGCTTTCTGGTCCTGAACAAATTCCTTGTCAAAGTAATGAAAATATGGCTTTAGGAGTGATGACAGATTCAAACGGTTCCAATTTCCCTGATTTAGACCGAAATAGTGCTGACAAGCTGCTAACGCAGACCGAGTCCGCACATCATAAACAGAGAGGAAACAAAGAACAATAGGACTCTTAAAACAAGAGCAGCGGGTGAGACTTTCCCATATAAAATGATGACTAAGCACCGAGGTGCCTTCATCCCTTAGAGAAAACATATGTACAGTTAAAAAAAAAAAAAAACAGACACGAGAATACAAAAGAAAAAAACAAAACCAACAAAAACGTGTAACTTAGCACAACAAAACACAGCTACTTCATGGTTGTTTAAAAGAGTCGCGCACATCTGACAGGAAGACAGATTTGGAGGCGATCACAGATGATGATGGGCAGGGGGGAGGAGGTGGTGGGTGTCAGTGGAGGCTAATATCAGGGCAACTGGTTACAGAGATCTGACCACAGAATCCAAAAACCTCCACCACCGCCCAGCAGCCCAGCCCAGGGCCTTTCCTCCACCCTCAGCACCAAAAATACCAGCTGCTGGATCACAGGGTGGCAGTAATTCTTCAGAGGGTTGACCATGCACCCACACACACTCTGCAGTCCCCTCTCATCTCGCTGCCCTGGAATAGGACTATGTGGCTCTAAGCTTTCACAAAGTTGCTAAAGTGCTCACTCTAACACTATGTTAAGCGCTTCACTGAGGTCAGCAAAACAACAAAAATACAAGAACATGTGAATGAACATTTGCGTAGTATCGAATGATAGAAATCTTAAGCTTTCAATAAAAATATTGAAACAAACAAACAAAAAAAAACAATAAGACATTAAATGGCATTGAAGTTACGTCCAACTGGTGTGTCTGTCAGGCTTGATTGAGAGGAGGGTGTGTTTTCTGTGCGTGGTACACACCGTGCTGAGGAGTGTGTGAGAAATTTAAATTTCCACGGCTGTGAAGGCATCAGAAGATGAAATGTTGGACACAGCTGTTCAACGTGTGTCTGTGTGTGTGTGTGTGTGTGTGTGTGTGTGTGTGTGTGTGTGCATGAGTGGATGAGAAAGAGTGGAGTCCATCCATCTGTGTGTGATCTGGGGCCGGCTCTGCCTGTGCAGCTCAGTACTTGGGTACTTTGGTGTAATCTTCCTGGACAACACTCTTGCACAGGCACATGGAGAGAATCATCCCCAAGAGCTGGAGCAAAGGGAGTTACTTTAGTCAGAAGAAATCAAACTAGCTGACACATCAGTTATTCAAACATTCGGACACCTTCACTGACACGTTTGAATACATTTGAGACGTTCTACGTTAGCTGAAATACATGCAACTCTAGGAATTTGTACGGGCTACACTCCAGGGCAGGCCATTTGGCCTAGCATGTAATTCAGAATTCAGAACAATCCCACGTGGGGTTTAAAGGTAGCTGAGATGCATACTGTACCTCCACTACTGCCACACCAACGAGGATCCCCAGAATAACTCCACAGTTTTCCATCAGCCAGTTCTCCACGCTGTTTATACAACCCTAGAGGAGACAGCATGAGAAACAGAGAGAATATGGGGTTAAGAAAGACAGTGAAAGAGGGGGGGGGGGGGGGGGTTTGTCATGCAGAGAGATGAATGACTGTGATCCGGGTCGGACATACCCAGACTAGAGCCTTTTAAAAGCACAACTGTTGGCTTTGGAGCGAGCCAGTGGGGGAAAGAATAACAGGACAGAGCTGAGCTGGGAGTGAGTAAGTGTAAAGCTTCTGAAACACGCAGACCAAACAACAGAACTGCCGAGGTTTCCTGGTGTTTCGCATAAATCCCGTTTGGCCTCAGCTGTCGGCCGCTGATTACGCTGGACCACAGTGCCGCACTGAGCTGGCCACTGGAGTTACACAACACACGACAAAACCGAGACGTGTCATGATCTAAAAGCCCGATGTCGGACGGGAAAGCAGGAACACTTCTGCACCATTCTTCTGAGGATCGCAAAACACTGCTTTTGGTTTGGACTGTGGTGTTAGGAGTTACAAGTTCCACAGGAAGTAAACCAACAAAGAACCTTACAGACATTTGTCAGGCAAGAGAATTGAGCTGGAAGGAAATAATGGAAAGTCGCTCGTATTCTTTGTTCATATGACCAGTTTGTTGAATAAAAATGATTACTAAACTAGCCAAAAGTACAGTTCTGTCCAGACTGTTCTGTGTAGACAGATCAATAATAGCACAGTAACCAATGTCATATGAACAGAGTAACAACTATCACATTGTTTTTAGTTGCCAAAGTACAATTTGCAGGTACAGAAACCTGAGGATTAATTCTGAAGATCTGCCTGCAATCTCCTCAGAATCCAGTCTGATAGGGGAAAGATATTAGACACAAAACTTTTATTTTGAGCAGAAAATGAATTAAACTAGATTTAAATCTACACTTGAAAGTCATTTCACAGCAGGCTATGTAGGTAAAGTGGAGATGGGCCCTTTACCTTAACAGACTGAGGTATGATAACAGGATTTTACATATGGTACAAACCAGATGATGTCCCAAAATTGGCTCTGATCTTGGGACGCATGCACCTGAGAAGTATATATAATTCTCTCTTCTACAAAAACACAGATTGTCCAGTGCAGTAAATCATGCTGCTCCTTTCTACTTCAACTCAAAAGAATTAATGTTCACCATACTGAGTTGGGTCAAACACCAGAAATCTGTTCAGAAATATCTGCTGGCTGCACCTGTGACTTCACTAATGACCTCTGACCTTTTCACACGGACGGCTTTGCAGATTCCGGTTCATACCGTTTCAAAGACGGGCGGTTCTGCAGACAGGTGGTCACACAGGCCAACCTCCCTAACGTCTGTGCCAGGCAGGGAGTCGTTCCGGCAGGAGCAGGGGTAGAGGTTCTGGGTGCTGTTTTTGATCAGAAGATTCTCAGTCCAGTTGCCTGGACCAGTCCACCCACAGCACTCCATCTGGTGACCGGACAGAAGGGCAACATGTGAGTCCAAAGGTTGTGGGGCAAAGAAAGAGGGGAAAGGAGGGAGCGAAAGAGTACGAAAATAAAGAGACACACGGATCTGGGGGGAGATGAAAATAAATGGGAAAATTAGATGAAGGCTACGGTGTTGGAGGATCTTTTTCTTGGCAGTCGTTTTCAGAAAGATCAGAACAAAGAGGCTTGGCAAGAGAGAGGCAGAGAGAAGGTGGAAAGAAACTGGCTCTGAGCTTATTAGCTGAGTGAGTCAGATCATTGCCAAAAAAAAAGTTCACTCTCTAACTTCATAAGTCTGTCTGCTGCATTCTTATCTAACAACTTTTCCACCACCAAAAAAACAATGAAGATGAGTAGAAATATATAAATAGATTAGCGGAACACAACAGAAACAATGTGCTTTCTACTATCAGTTATCCAGGAGAGAGCACAAAATGCAGTGAAATGCTTTTGTACGGAATGTTTCTTGACTAGAAAGTAGTTCCAATAAAAGCTTTGTGCACTGTGGGTTTTTTGGGAAAGTGATATTTCCACAGCCTCGAGCTTTCAAAACCTGGAAGAAAAAATGTGGGTTTTTAAAAAAAAGTACAGAAATGAAGGAGATGCTGGATTCAACCATCCTAAAACAGTCCTGCTGGTTAAGTCTTTCTACATGTGCATCTATTTATAAGGTATGAAAAGATACAAGCAGCCGATTATATGACGCTGATCACATGATTCTGTCAGGAAATCCCTCAAATTTTCCCTCATATTTTCATATTTGTTCAGCAGATGCTGTTGAAAGAATTTCTATTATTTATTTAATTTCAGATAGTATGTTTACTGGTAAAGATAGACTCATCTCCTCTCAAATTTCCATCAAGCACTGAAGAAATTGGTGATTCACATTAGAGTCACATTTTCATAAGGGATTTTAGGCTTTGTACAAATCCCGATTCTCATTTTCAAAACTAGGGGTCGCTTTGATTGTAAAGATAAGATTTAATTACTTATTAAATGAGGTTTTTTGCCTGCTCTCGTGTCCATGTGGCTTTTCTGGAGTGTTTCTAATAAAGCAGCGGCTCCACAACTGACTGCACTAATTGTGGTTAGGAGTAAAAACAACACTTCTATGCGTAATTAAATGAAGCTTAAGTGCTTACTGTGGAAGCCTTGAATTAGAATTTCACAGTCACTGAATAAATCCGACTGTGATAAAAACAGGCCTAGCAGTCTACTCACTTTTCTCTGAATGTAGTCCCAGGTGTGCTCTGTGGTCCTGTTCTGTCCGGTGTAGTTGATTATCATGCCTTTAATGATGTTGGACATCTCATGTTTCAACTGGAGAAGAAAAAGAGTGCATTTTGCATTAGAGGGAATCTGTTGAGACAGAGTACTGAATAACAGAATAAAATCACCCACACAAGATCTGTTTCCATGTTTAACCATCAACATTCTCGCTTTAGGTTTCTCTGGGAACTACCAAAGTTCGCACATGTAAAATGACATGCTGGGCTGTAGCACTGCAAAAATACAGCTCACCAAGAGAATAACTGTGTTTATATGTGTGAGACCACAGAGTGGTAGCTATGATGCAGCTTCTGAGCCTACAGAGATGAGTGAGAGCCTCACCCTATTCGAGGAAAGGGCACCACCCTGCCCTGTGGTGAGCCTTAAACACAGGGAGTATGTCTAAGGCCACAGACCCACACGTGCTATCAGGAAAGCACACAAACACCCATGTCCACACACACACACACACATGTGCATGCTGAAGAGCCAACAGCTGAAACCACCTACAGTACTCGAAATGGTGAAGTTCATCATAGGAGAGGCTTTTTTTAGTCTCTAGAATGGTCATGTTCAGCAAATAATACAGTACAGGCAGAGAGACGGCTTCAAACATAACGCTCCCTTTAAATAAACACACGCGGCTACTCCATTATAACTGCTCTGATCTGCAATTTGATCCGGGCAGCTTCAGAGGATAAACCTAACTCAGCTCTGTCCTCAGCCACATTCATGTTGTATTTGGTAACTCGTTTAGGAAAGTACAGGAAGAGAGAAGACCCTCCCAGTAAAATGTTGCAACCCTATCAGGTGTTTTGCAAGCATCAATTTGGGTTTCTCTGCACAGCCAGGAAGTTTAAAGCAGAGCAATGTGCTCAGAATACTTGTTTTGACACTTCAGTTAATGTGAACACAAAGAGATGTTCTTCTGAAAATAAATAATAAAAATAAAAACTTAGAAAATGTGATGTTAGAATGTATTTTCTATAACATAATTAGTTTATGTTGTACGTTTTAAAATAGTTGTCTTTTGTGGTATGTGTGGTTTTTTGAGAGGTTTGTCTAAAAAGCATATCTTGCAGTTGGTATATACCAAATAAAAAAACCTGCAGGGGGCAGTGTGTCACCACAGGCCTCACAAAAGAGGTTTGTTCATTTATGTAGCATTATCTTATTATTTTGGTTCTGATCATTTGGATCTTGTACAGACACATGTTACTAATGTCTATATTTCACAAGAGCTGAAGCCGCATTCATTCTGCAAAGGCTAAGTTAGCCCTCTCGCCTCTGTGTGAAGACGATTAGAGGGACCTGGATGACTATGACGAAATTCAATATTATGAATATTCTTGCAATTTCCTTTAGTGATATCTCAGGCAACCTACAAGCGTCAGCTCCCCCTCTACCAATTTCTGGATTCAGATCAGCCCATAAATGGCACTTTGTCGTCACTTTCACCACAATGAATTGCAACTGCGTAACCACACAGGATGCAGCGGGGACCCTCACAGGGGAACTGAATGTTGAACGTGTTACAGGTGGTGTCTTACCCGATCTCTCTGGAAGTAAATGAGAACTCCAGCAGTGACCTGGGCGATGAGGATGAGCAGGAGGCAGGTGAAGTACTGTGGCCAAAGATACATACATAAGCACAACAATCAACAATTGAAAGAAAAATACTAGCACAGTTGCCAATTTGACTCAAAAAACAATCTTGAAGCAGTCAAAACAAGTAGTTATACCAATAGTGAATTAAGATCCCTCATCAGCCTTATGTATGTCAACCCCTGAGCGTGATTGTGTGTCGTTGGGGGTCTGCCACCAGCTGGTCACTGTCACTGGAAGAAGTAGGCCAGGCCAGCTCTTTAGTAAACCCCTAACAGGTTTTACACTGTTGTGATCAGGCACCATCCCCGCTGTTGCAGCACCCCCTGCTCTTCAGTAGCTTTATCTACCCCACCTCCCTCCCCTCCGTAAACCCACACGCTGGGAGCTCCCGTCCTAACACATTAGCAGAGGGCCGAGGGGCTTTACTGTCAGCAGGAATCTATCACGTGCTATTAGCCATGCTTCGGAGCACTGGCAGGTGCTTTCAGATCAATGTGTGCGTCCCTTTTCCGAATGTGGCGATTGCACATGAGTGCAGTGTGGTCGGCAGGATTTGAAAGTTTTGGAATTGTTCTGCAATATATTTTGTTTTTTTCTTGTGATGAAAAAGCAGAGACTTACATAAAATATAGGTCATAATTAGTGTCCCAAATGCTTTGCAGGATGAATGTACCCCCAGTGGTCATGAGGGGACTATTGTCAGATGTTGACTTTCTAAAGCTGTGGTGAGGGGTGTGAGCCATATGTCGCCCCCCATGAGAATTACAGCAGGCTGTGCACCGTGTGCTGACAGGGGCCAGAGTTTGTGCGATTCCTCACCAGACCCAGCAGACAACGGATTTCATAGATGGCTCCGATGCAGCCGAAGAAGCCCATGGCCATCGACAGGGACCCTACCCCAATGAGGATGTATGACGCCACTTTGACCGTGTCCGAAGATTCCTCTGCACAAACAAACAGAAGAACATACAGAAAATGACCCACAGTTTTGGACTTTAGCATGTTAAAAGCCACAGTTTGTACTTCACAGTTTCAAAGTTAAACAGAGCTCGCTCTTCCAGCATTAAAGCACACATAAAAGCCCCCTAGAGAAAACAAATACAATTCAGTTAAGTGGAGCTTTAATGTAAAACCAATTTGGCATTGTTAAAGTGAGCCAGACATTTTTCACAGAGCAAAGCCTTTTTCTCAATTTGAGACCAATCAATTTTCTTTCTTCCCCAAAAGACTACTTTGACATAGCAAGCCACCAAAGGGATTTGGAGCTGGACCAGTCAGCTTGTGGCAAGATTAATTGATTTCACTTGTCGGAATGTGGAGAGGGAGACATTCGTGAGGAGGAGGAGGGGGCTGGGGCTGAGAATGATTGCAAGGTTGGAGAGAAGATAAACCGGAGCCTCTAAGTGTCTGTGAGCGTTATCTGGACTGGTGGCGCTCCACAGAGACAGAGCTCTCTCTGGAGTTGAAGTCGGGATGAGCTTTGTGAAATAGATCCAGAAGCCTGGCCCAACAAAAGCAGCCGGAGCCATCAGACGCTCGCACCGAACCATGAGCGGAAGGAGCCGACTGACACGTGGCCTCTGTAGTTTCTTTGGACGTAACACAAAGCTACTTTTTGGCCAGCTTTTGAGAAAGCGTTTAAAGAAAGACAGACAGGCACACTGCATGCTCTAAATGCAGCGATACACACAGCCCTCCTCACACCGCTAGTCCCACAAAACACAACAGATGTCCGCAGGTTTCCCTAAGACGCTGATTACGGGGAGGATTTGGGGATATGCAAGCAGAAGTCTGAAACGTATCATTGAGGAGGCTGATTGAGAACCCTGGAGAATATTCCACATCCCGAGCCATCAAACTGAGGCGTGCAGCATGCGACTGAGGCTCGCTGTCGGGTTTAATAGATTAATATCTAACAGAGACACAACGGGGATGCACAAGGTTCTCAACAAGTACGATGCACAAAAGATTTCCACTGGAAAAATAAGCGGATTTTATTTTACTCTGAGGAGATTGCCAAATTGTAACTTTTTTTCTATCATGCATGTGTTTCTGTTTTGTTCTGCAAGTATAATTCTATGTGGAACTATGTCTTGCAGGGTAAAGGTTAGATTGCAGCATTCTTTGTTTTCATGGCAGGTTATGGCAAAAGTCACTTAACTGTATTCTTCATCTAGTCAGATACCCAAACTTCCTGCTGTGTGTTCAACTGTGGTAATTCTAAAACAGTCTCACGGGTCTGTCATGTTACTGTGCTGTTCTTCTGAGCCATTATGGCAAGTTTCCATGTGGCTCTCTGCTTGATGCTCTGTAACATTTGCTTGAGTTTTTTTTCCCCCCCGTCTTAATGGAACTTTCCATTTAAAGGGAAAAGAATTATAGTGTCCTTTGAGAAGGCTGCTGTGAGAGGAGGGAGGACTGTTTGGCATCACAGGTCTTACTGTAAACATAACCAGAGCCTCACATTTAACTTGCATACAGATGGAGAAAACCACAGTTGACTTTATGTCCAGATTTAAATGTAAACACATATGGACATACTCGTGCTGAATTTTTAGTTAGTCCCATGACAACAGTCCTTCCCTCTCTCCCTGTGACTCTGCAAAAATTTCATACGAAATTGATACAAAGCATATTTCCAAACTGCTTTGGCGCACTCTGGTTCACATACAGTGTCTCCATTCCAAGCAGGAATTTTGGATAAACATGTGGCCAGCTCTGCTTAGCAAACATCAGCAAGATAAACACAAGTTATCATGTCACTGGAGTCAAATATTAACATCGCTGTATTGGTGAGAGGAGGAGATGTCCACTTGGACAACTGCACAGGCCTCTACTGACAGAATTCAAAGAATGAAAACTGAAAACACAGAGATCCTGTTTACGGTCAGACAACAGTACAGATTCTGAGCAGAACATGCAAAGTCAATAAACAGAGTTGCCTGCAGCTTTTGTGTGTCTGTGCAGTGTTAAAAGACTTCCAGTTAGGGTATTACACGGGGGGGGGGGGGAGTTGTGGTCGACCTCTTTTATGTACAGGCCACAAAAATACATCAAGCCCCCACATAAGAGGGATATCCTGAGGCTATCTCTGGATCATGCTATCTGTGGTGGAACAGCTGGATTATCACAACACAATATCTGACCCTGATGAGGGAAGATAGATGCTGTCTTTGTTTGCTGAAGGCCTAACTAAAGATTAGCAAACTCAGCTCAATAACAGCCTGGGAGGGATTTTTCTTCCACACTGCAACATGGGACTGGTGTAGGAATTGTAACCAGCTCTTGATCAGGTCTCTATTAAAACCTTTTCACAAGTTAATCCTCACTGTCCCTCTCCTTTTTCAGTTTCCATCAAGGTAACTATGGTTTCAATTCTATGTTATGCATTTACAGGAACAATGTTTTTTTAGATAATGGGGAAGAAGTCTTTAGAAACCTGAACTCCAGATTTAGAAAAATAATATATTTTGTGACAACATCTGTGAGAGTGGGAGATTCCCTGTCATCTGGACAAGTTAAAAATAAAGTTCTGTGGCAACTACAGGGGGGGGGAAAGCTATTTTCCAAACTGAACAGCTTGAGATACCTTGACAATCAAGAGCCTGCTACCTCCCACTGACAAACCCACTGATGCGCCGGCACATCTGCAGCTTCAGCTCTACTCAGAAGGTCATCGAGTTTAATCGGTGAGTCACATTTTTTTATTTCGGTGTGAACATCTCTTTGTGATTATGGGGGAATGAGTCCCAGGGGACAGAGTCCTTATAAAGTGCAGACAGCAGGCCCAGGATTTCCCACATTCTCCAGTCTGTGTTTCCCACCACGCTGCTCTGAGAGCAGCCTGCTCAAACGCGTTGAGTATTTTCTGATGTAGAAGTGTCATCACGGTTAAAACCACATTAGTGCTAGCAGCCCAGCAGGTGTGTATGGGTGTTGCGTCACTTACGTAGAACAGCAATGAAGCTCTGGTTATCGAAGAGTACCCATATTCCAAAGCCCATGATCAGTGCACCAAATATCTGTGGAAGGGAGAGAGTCAGTACTTAGCACGCCAGAACTTACATGGGAGCAAAACACTGAATCAAAGCCGGTCTTAAACAGAAAGAGGGTGTTTTGGGTTCCTCTCTTCACATCTGGAAGCAATCTAACCCCAAACTCTTCTCCTCCTCTCTGTCTCTGTCTGCATTTTTCCTTCTCTCATAGCAACAACTACAAGAAAAGTGGATTCTGCAGACTTTTTCTTACAGTTAACCTGCATCGTTAGGTCACGCCTTCAGAGAAGAAATTAAGCTGCGTTAGATTAGAGTCAAGATGTCGAGACAATGGGATATAAGCTGATGTTCCACCTCTATGACCTGAGTGGCATCTGAGAGAACTGCTACTTTCGAATGACGTTCTCTTAAAATGGGGTAAAGAAGTTTGAAATATCAGTAAAATGAAGTGGCTCTGGGCTCAGAAGGTATGGGGCACCGCTGAGGGGAGAAAATCCTTTGATGAGAGGCTTGTTGATTCGTCAGCTTCCGCCTCGTATCGCTGCTCCTCCACAGCCCCGCAAAAATAATTAGTGCCCTGGTTGAGAGCCGTTCATTTGGAGAGACCGCTGAGGGGCCAGCGGCCATCATTAGTCCACAACTTCCTGGCTTCCCCTTAGCCTCACCGAGCATTTCTGTCTGCTCGACACAGACACAGACGCTTCCGATTAGACACCAACTGAAGAGTCATTTCAAAAGGTTTGCGTCAGGTTTATAGGCCCAGACTCATTGGAAAGGTCTGGACATCCTCACAGAATGAGCTTTTAGGTTTTCTTAGTCACTGGACTTTAGGTTGTAACACATTTAAGAGAGGAGAAGACAAACAGAAACCATCTGCTCATGATTAGACTTAGCTGTACAGTAGAATCTCCTGATCTAGCAGAAAGTCAAGGTAACGTTCCTTTATGTATATTCACTAATCTCCAATGCTATTTGAATAAAGAAAATTATTCAAATAAAGGATAAAAGGCCTCTGATAGCCCTGCATACATCACACATCAGCTGAGGTAGCCTAACATACTTATTTCTCCATCTAAGGTAAATAAATTTGCTAAGAGGGTAAAAGGGGGTTCACACAATTCTGACAGAACTTTTAGTTCAGAGCAACAAAGCAAAAGTGAAGTGAGGACTTACAAAGAAGAGGAGGTTGAAGAGGAATAGAAAGTACTTGGTGACCGTGATGCATCCTTTTCCCATGGTTGTTTTTCTGAAAGGCAGAGGAGAAAAATGAAGTGAGAGGTGGGCATGAGGTAGAAAAAGACTAACGGGAACAGAGTGATGATGACGAAAAGACACAATAAAACCGAACGGACATATAGCCTTGCCTTAACTGTGAGAGCCGCAGAGCAAGGACAGGAAACTGCCGGCTTAGGTTCCTTATTCAGCACAGCTTTAATGTTCAAAGCCAAAACATGGGTCCAAGTCATTCACAGCAACCACGATTCTCCAGTTTTATGTGGAAACAGTTGTCCCCTTGTCGTACTTTATTAGGTTTTATAAGAACTTTTTAGAGCAAACTTGAAAACCAATCTTGTTGTGTATTCAATAAAGAAGAGGAACCACCCTGGTTTCAAGGGCTGAAAGACAGACCACAACAAAGTGAGCTCATGATGGTGTGGAGGCCACGCTGAACATGTGGTTAAATAAGCTGTTGACGGAAGAAGAAAACAACCACCGTTTAATAATCTTACACACTTTTTTTTTCTTCTTTAAGTGCGTCTCACAAAGGATTGAATTACATTTACTGAGTTTAGCTGATGGCAGAAATAGCACACAACACAAAAATGTGGTGGATCGGTAACCGAGTGGCTTTAAACTTCTCATAGAATAAAGGATCTGAACAGCAGGTTCTTCGACAAACAGTTGGCATTAATGTGACTATTGGTAACCATCTATCAAATGTATCCTATGACCCAGATACTAATACGATTTCATGCTTTCAGAACTGAGGAGTGCAAACCACACGGCAGCTCTGCCTGCAAAGAGGATCATCTCAAAAGGAGATTTCTGCTGAGATGTCGAGCAGCACCACAGATTAAAAAAGGCTCAGCTATGATAGCCATTGTTTGCTGACTGTGTATTGGTGTCATTAAACAGGTTTTTGTAAAACAGAAAATTCAAGGAAACCGTAGGATTCTCTCAAACTGGGGCCCTATTTGGAAATAGATGTACAAAACGTTATCATACTGAGCAAAAGTACAGATGGTCTTATATTATTTTTGCAGTAGAATTATTATTGTATAATGAGGCTTTCAGGGACATGTGTAAAATTGTGTTTATGCTGTTCTGAATCAAAATGGAAAAAGCATTATTCACTAAAAATAAAATGTAGAAAATATCTGCTCTACAGAAATGTTAGTTCAAAACTAAAGCTAAAATCTGTTCTACAGAGAATAGAAAACAGCTTAAGTGCACTGGAAATTTGAACCAGAGTCAAACAGCAAGGAGGCCAGCAGTGCCATTAAATAACTCGATCTTGAAAAGACAGTGTTTATGTGAAAAAGATGGCTGCACAGGAATGACATGCCAAAAAAAGCCCAGAATGAGTCACCTGAACTTTCCAAACTCTCTGACCTCACAGACACGGTTTCTTTTTCCTCTTTTCGGCCCAAATTTCAATCCTTGTGGTTTGGCACGAAGTTCAATCACCAACAAGTAAAGCTTCCGGTACATTTAATAAAAGGGAAATAAAAAAAGGTTAAACTGAAATCAGAGTTAGGTTGTTATCATACAGTGAGCTCATAGTGTACAGAGATGGACAGCGTGAGTGGCAGATGGTGGGTGATGTGTCTGTAATGGAAACAGCATGGATTTACAATACTAAAACCCTGTAAAACACAAAAAGGCAGGCAGTGTGCCACTGCCAACATGCTCCTACAGCCTCCTTCTAATAGTCATATATGACCTATTTACACATCTGTGAGCTCATGGCACTGACAGAAGGGGGGGGGGGACCACAACCACCTACCTTGTCCCTGTACCACTAAAGCTTTTAATAGCACCACAGAGTTCTGCTTTAACATCTGCAACAATGTTTCTTATCTCCCGTTGGATAGATAGATAGATCGATAGAAAGATTACTTTATTCATCCCCAAAAGGAAATTTGGTAGCATGTTTTCAATTTGGCATTTTGGCAACAACACTGAAAATGTGTTACATTTCTACTAACAGCTCAGAGTAAATTTCCCTTACTGAGATATGTAGCATCTTTCAAATTAATGTGGGCCGTCAGGGCTCACATCTCTACAGACTTACTACAGTTATTGTTCACCTGGACCCTGGGACACCTGTATGTTTAGAAAGGATTCCAATAGTTAGTTATTCATAGGGAGGGACTTCCCCTTTCTTGTAGGAACCAGTGACAGAAATGGGTAAAATCCCCACTGTGGTTGACTGTCAGGTAACTTCCACCATTTAGTGGAAACACTGAGGCATCTGCGCCAACGACTGAGAAGCCTTTTCTTACTACACAGCTGTGTTAGCAACAACACTGCGTCCCAGTATGCGGCTAAAACAGACTGAAAGTAACGTGCCAAACTGCCAACTAGATGATGCTCAGATTGTTTTATCTCAATGGGTCTGATTCCATCAGTCGAGGTGGCATGATGGAGGTTTTTGATGGTAAGCAGAAAAACATGGTCCATAATCGGTCAGATAGATCTGTCCATCTATGAACATGTAGCTAAAACAGTTGTCTAAAAGTACCGAAAAGCTTTGTTTTAAAACATCTCTGCGCTCGCTCATTTTGGTGGAAATAACTGCCAATTACCAAAAACAGCTAAATAACAGACTGAGCGATTAATCGTCTATAATTAGACAGAAGGCCCTGTCATGGGGGAGGACCACCCAAAGCCTGGAATTAAAGCACTGCTTTTAATCTGAGCTTACCAGGCAGTCACCTCCCTACTCTAAAATGTGCAAATGGTTCAAAAAATTTCACTGAAGGTTGCAGAGCGGCTGTGCAAAAGAAAGCACAGAGACAGAGGGAGGGGAGGAGGGAGGGAGAGAAAAGCATCTCTAAACACAGAGATGTGCTGATGCAATAAAGAAAACCCATCATGTGGAAAGCAGCTGAGAAAAGGGATCTGTTAGCACAGCCCCAGAGCCTGGATGGTTTAATAGTATAATATGGTCAAAGACTTAATAGTGTTCCATAACATTAGTAAGAAATAAATCAGCACTGGAAGCGGCTTATGGAAAGCAATACCACGGCCTCTCTCTCCTCTAACAGAGGGATGTTAAAGAGCACCTTCAGTGGCTTCATGCAGACATTTGCAGCTGCAGAAAAGTTGCTCACACAGTTGAGAACTAGACTTTAACACACAGGCGGGTTATTGATATCCAGTGACCACGCGGAAACAAAAACTTGAGCGGCATCAGAAACCTTTGAGTCATTTGTTTACCATGACTGGCCTGTTCCAAACAAGGAAAGGGATCACCGAGGGTTGTTTTATGAGCATGGAAACTGAGCCGCAGAGTTCCATCTGCAGCGGAACAGCCTGGAGAGCACGCCAAATTAAAAATGCCAGAGCTGATGACCAGAATTAACACTGCATATTCTTGTGGTTACACTTGAGGTTTGGGGAAACTTGTCGGAAATTTTCAAACCAGCCAGTCGTTCAACAGATGAGTGGGTCTCCTACATCCCCCACCTTTAAGAAACCAGCAAAAATAATGCAGAAATTAAATCAAAACTATGGATCTGTTATGGTTTCAAAGTAGACAGTGTCTATAGTTAAAGCTATTCTTACTTCAACTTTAATCTTCCAACTTTATTCAAAGCTGCTGGCCTCCTCAATCAAATAGCCTGAGAGACGGAAAAAGTAGGATGAAGGATGAGGACAGTTTTCCTAACATGATCCAGATTTTCTGCTACGGATTAGGTTTGTGTAAAGTCAAATTTGCTTTCTAATATGATACCCACACTACATTTATAGACTGAGGACGATATCTGTGCCTTAAAGTTTACTTCAGTACAACAAAGTACTGCGGGAACAACAAGTTAAGCCGCCACTCCGACTGAATTTCAGGTTATAACCCAAATACTGAGGGATTTCAGTTGTTCCGCCACCGCAGCGATGCTTCGCGGTGTCTTTTTTCTTTTTCTGACGGCTGAGCGGAGACGTGACGTTAGCAGATGGAGCGCGTGGGGCTGCTCCCCACAAACGTTAACCCCGTTTTCTAAAGTCTGAGCATTCTCGTGTTCATGTTTAAGTCTTCGGTGCAAAACAGAGAGCAGAGCTTCCCACCAACAGCATCTTGCCAAGCCTTTTTTAAAGCACCGTGAGGTTTTCTAACTTTTCCCCGGACAGTCGGTCCCTCACTGGTGAACGCAGACCGGGGACGTTCACGGTACCATCGGACATTTAGTCTGTCAGTCTCCTGCTCCGTTACATTAAGAGGGACTCGGTACGAGTCTTCGAGTTTTCCTAAACCACACAAAGTTTGAACTAATTCGGTTGGCCGCGTTTTCATGCTCATTCGCGAGTTTTTCCCCTCACGTTGACAAAAACTAAACGAAAACTTACTTTTAGTCGTGCTCCTGAAGTGTCCGCAGCTGGCTTTGGGCTCACTCGTCGGCTCCCTTACTCGCCTCAAGTCTTAAAAAGAGTCCTGTGAGGAATAAAACGCGCGTTTGTCCGTCTCTCTCTCTCTCTGCGTGGACTGTATGAGTGTGACTGTGTGTACATGTGTTCACACCCCCACCATGCGGGGGCAGGACCAGTTCCGCTTCTTAACCCTCTCCGGTCCTACGACCTACGTGAAAAAAGCTGCGCCCTCCGCTAAAAACCAAGTAGTAGCCTACGTAAAATATCAGTTTTTCCCCAAATTTGTAAATTGGGCCTATTTAAGAAAAATCTTAATTGTTTTTTTTAATCAACGATTTTAAAAAATATATCATTGCCTTCATGGTTTTTCTGTACTCTGACAAAAGTCTGTAAGATTACACAAATATTAATCAAAGCTTAATAGATGATACAGAGGTTTTGGAACTAGTAGAGGCGAAAAGTGTATACAGAGATTATGCCTGAGTGAAAGCAGTAAAAAAAAAAAAAAAAGTTAAAAACAAAAAAGTTCAAGCTTAATAGAATGGGGAAATACTGAATGTAAAAGTGCATTTGGGGGAATAGAATTCCGTGCAACTATTGTGGAACATTGCCTCTTTTTAGGCATGCAGCAGCATTAATTCATACCGATGCTGATGCAGTTCTTGCTCTAGCTGTTACCCATAATCAATTTCCTATTCCCACTTAATCCAGTTCAGGCCTGCTGGGCGGTGGTACCGATCCCAGTGGCCATTGGCTGAGAGGGCTGGAGGTGGGAAGACTGCGGGTCACTAATCCATCACAGGGTCAACACAGACAAACGGTACACTTACACTCTAGTTATTACAAACAGGCTGCAATTTATGCTCATTTTCATCCCCATTTTGTCTGCTCATTACTTCCTCTAACAGATGGGATAAAAAAACAAAACAATTATAGAGCCGTTTCCATTTAGAAAACAAAACAACAAACATTCAAACTTTCAAAATCTTCACAAGGAAAAGAGGACAATCACAGATTGAAACAGATGGAACATTTGGTATTTATTTTATGCAATTAGCAAATGATCAGACAGTTCAGTTATTTGTCAGCTAGTCTGTTTAATTTAATTGATGGAAAAGTACAACAGAATACAGCAGAAGAGAATCATTTGGCTTGTCTGCTTAATGTTGTTTATAAACCGGCCTTGGATCATTCTAGCAATATCCATTGCGAGTCATATTAAACACTGTTTAACCAAAACATCCCACGATATAAACCAGGACTCAGTACATGGTGAGAAGGTGTTTGAGCTTTCTGCACATAAACAGACAACGATGGACAATTCCTGGGCTACATAGTAACCCTTTTCACTCTTTTCCCAAAGCATGTGTCCGTGAGGAGGGATCAGATGGGAAAAGCAAAAGTCAGAAATAGTGGCAGAGTACACCCTCATTAAAGCTCGCATCGAGATAGTTGTGCAGACCGGACGTTGTTCATGTTGTGACACGTTCTCCGCCCTCAAACAGAAAACACTAAACAAAGTTGGGTGGGATCACATGATTCAAATGGCTTTGTTGAGACGTGTTGGAACATATCTGCTGAATGTTTTCTGACGTACATTTAGTTGAGTTTACAGGGGGTTCTTCCTCAGTGCTCTTCACTCTTAGGGTTATTTCAGGTAGGAGGCTGCCCCGAGTGGCACCCTCCTACCACCCATTATTTCTATTTTGGGGTTAAGAAGATATGACAGGCAAGGCGAAAGTCATTCTCAATAAGGGACACGCATATCAGAAACCAAATGGAGTATGGGGCAATGTGTTAAAATCAGTAGAAACAAAAACAAAACTGTAAAGCTGGTTGACAACCCCTGCCAGGAAACACAAACAGCCTTCAACTAACTTCTGAAATTTAATTTTTTTCCCCCCTAAATGGCAATGATAAAACTTCCTAGATTTGATTATTTTTAAAGGACAATATTAAGATATCTCACAGGGACAGGACAGACAGCTCTAATGCTTATTGGCTGAAAGACAGCATAACGTTAGGCCATGGGAGAGCGACTCCAGGCCCCAACAGCTGCTGTCCACAGAAACATACAGAATTCAGATCAAATGGATCTCTTCTAAAGATTTGCTTGCTATAGACCTTTGTCTTGTCGGAGCATCATGTATTTCTGATAGAGATCAGGAACATAAACACAGGCTACAAATATGTTAAGACAAATAAGCACAGTAGGAAAAAACTGCTCAGTATACTTATAAAGAAAAAAAAATGGGGGGTGGGCATTTGCCCTTTGATATGAACTCAATAGACAGCAGGGCCCTTTTATTTTAAGAGCGCATTTCTCAGATCAACTCCAGGAAAAGTTAACTTATTTAAATGGGGTTCTCATTAAAAGTGACTCTGATGAGGGACATCTTTCCATCTCCTCCTAAAATCAGTTGCAAGAGGGCTCTTACTAAACCACAGGTAGTGTCAAGTCATCTTCCAGCTAATGATGAGTCATATTTGGCTGGAGCTTTTATTCAAAAGAACTAATCATTGTTGACATTAGTAACAAGGTTCTGAAATAAAGCATAACAGAAAGCAGACATTTTAGGGACATTAAAACACACGGGCTTTAGAGCAGTCGTTCACTGATTACAAGGTTGCATTTTTTAGTTCGAATGGTCTGAAACTTTCAGCTGACGTAAAATAGGCTGCTCAAAGAGACGACTGAACAAGTTGTGTGGTTGAACATTTTTTTTTTCAAACAGGCACAGTATATACGATCTCATGGCTGATGTCCATGACACTATCAAACAGAACATTTGGGGTAGTGAAATACTGATCCTAAGGGGAGCAAGTGTTTATGCATCATGTTTGCATGCTGTGCTTTTTCCAGACGGAAATGAGCAAACTGACCTCATTTCTTTTGAGTAGGAGAGTTGAGTTGTGGTGGTGTAGGTAGATATAGTGACATCTTGTGGTTTCACATAATTGGCCCATGGTGGCTTCATCCTTTATCTGTAACCTGCCATTTCCTCAGCTGTGTGTTGGAGTATTGTCAGTAATGGGGTATGTGATCATAAAGTGGGGAAAAACTGTTTGCTGGGGACTACTCCCTGTGGATGACTGTTTATCGTGCTACATTTGAACAGTTATTCTGTTCCCCTCTTAAATATAAGCATAAGCAATGTGTTTAACAACTTCACAATATAAAGTAGCATTTCATTGTCTTTTATTTAGCTTTCACTTTTTCTGTCGTTAGGATGTTTTGATAACTGATTACTTGATTATATCCATTTCTAGCATAGAAATCTCCCTTTACTTTGTCACACAACAAATTGAATAAATATGGTTTTCACAAACTATTTTAACATCTGATAGTCTGCTGTACGTCAGACAGGACAACAAGTAACCGATAGCATCAACTCAACTTTCAAGTGTTCAAAGAATAAACAATAGTGTTCTTTATTTCAAACTAATTATTGGAAATCCATAGAAATTCATTTCATAAGTAACACATTGCTACAACTTGAAACATTGCGACAAGGTATGAATAGCCCCAACAGGTATTTTATATTCAGGAAAAAAAAGTTACCAGTCTAATATTGTCTAATTTATGGCAGATCCAAAGGGATGAAAGAGTCTATTGCCTCTCTTTCTCTACTCCCCCTAGCAAAATTGTAGATCTGTCCAAAAATAACCTGCCCTACAGACCTTTGAACATTTCAGAAGGCTGTTCATTTGAGGCCTGCAGTACTGACGGAAATGGAATGACATTTTCCTTGAACTCCATAATTATCATGCAGTCAAGACAGAGCGGTACTGTAGGTGGAAGCACACAATGTTACTGGGGGGAATGGCATCTAATTAAACACTCCCATAAAGATAATTACTACTCTTCAGAGGTAGAGGAGACCTCACCCATGTTTTACATTCCCTATCTGTACTGAAAGCCAACCGATGTGACAGGCCCTTCTGCCTTCAGTGGTGAGTTCGTATCTAGAACCACCCCAACCTCTGGACATCTCCCTTTTGGGGAAGGACTCAGAGTAATCCAACAATATGGACAACATTTAGAAAAATACACTCTGTTCCCCGTTTGACTCGCAATAACTTTTGATTATGTCTTTTTCATGTTTTTGTCTTTCTCACTGGCATCAGGCATTTGTTTGACTTGCAGAGATCCTAGTTGAAAAATCTGAATTGCTCATAAATAGAGTCATGGTGTCTCCCCATCTGAGGGCTTTGTCAGGTACTGCGAGGTAGAAAATGTACTGGAGAGTGGCACTGTAAAAATGTGTTTTGAATCTGCCTTATAAATTAGCTTTTTGGTTTTAAAGAACAAAAGTTTTCTGTAACCGTCATCACATCTAACATCTTTCAGCTTTGCATTGAGTCGGTTACAGACAGCTACAACATTTGTGCCATTTCTATTGGTGGATTATATTGCATGCATGACATTAAAACACAGTCATTTAAATAATGGTAATAAAACAAGTCTAGAGAAGAATTAACCCTTGATAATCATTTAACTAATACTGAACAAGTTCCCTGTTTGGTTCACAAGAACACCACATAATAGTAAATTCATCTATGTACATATATACAAGGAATATGAAGCAGTGCTGATGACTGTTATCTTAAGTAGTTTTACGGCAAGAAAATTGACACGGAGAAAAAAGCCCAAATATCTCTGTGCTACATGACTAAAAAGGAGCCACTTCGGCTTTGTTTATCCTGCTTGCTACCCGTGCATAACAGCAAAGGTCAGACTTTCACTCAGGGTAAAGTCCATCGCAACAGCTGACAGGCAGCAAGGAAAAAACAAAGCCTTCTCTCTCATTAAATACTCTTCTCATTTAGTCTGATGGAAACACTGGAGAGATATACAGAGACATGCAACGGATGCTGCAAATTCAACAGAACATTTTGGGCCTTATAAATAGTCATGGTTATTGGAGAGGGAGAGAGAGAGACGGGGGGGGGGGGGTATTTGGGTTTCTCCATTGTAAAAGAAATCAGTAGCGCATGAAAAAGGTTCAGTGTCAGTCATCTAGCATTTATCTTATCTGACTCGCACAGAAATAGGAATATTTTCCATCGATTATGTTCAGTGGAAAGCGGTCAGAGAACTCCACAGCATTTTACATGACAAAATGACAGCACAAACTCCTAAAAAAAAAAAAACCCCAAAAACTCATGAAACAGTACTGGGATCCAAACTTTTATCAATAGAAAACACTAAATACTGAGTCTACAAATCTCATAGCCTGATATGATTAAGCTGTCCTGTACATATTAAAATCACATCTAGTTGACGCACAAACGCAACACACTACATGATGCTAATTCCTGGGTTGTAATACCACAGATCAAAACTGCACAAAAAGAGGAATGTGTGTCAAGAGGGGTTTGACCTCGCAGCCCAGTTAGAGCAGTTCACCCTCAATCTAGTTCCTGCTGTAGAGTCTGAAATGTGACACTGTGCTCATCAGTTAAACTCTGGCCATTATGTTTGGCTAGGTCCCGCGGAAGGGGGCAAGGCGCGTCTAAAGGCAAAGTATCGCTCCTAGTCCCAGTCAAATCATAATCCAAACCTTCTGACTCCATGTTTGTGATCTGTGCTCAAAACATCCCCTTCTTTAAGAAACAGCTCAGATCTTCTTTGGTTTACGGCCCAGGTGGTAGTAGTAGGCCATGGTGACTACCAGGAAGAGAACTCGACTCAGCAGCAGAAGCATGGCATTGTTTGGCAGAATGCCGATCTCCACTAAGGTGATGGACGTCACTGAAACCACAGAGCAGGTCAGACCAATTACTTACAGGAGGGTACACTTTTCTCAGCTCTTTACATTATGTTTAAAGAATTTAATAGTTTTGTACCTCTGCAGCACTAATATGTCCATAAATGCATCAACATACAAGTTACAAAAACAAATCTGTATTTTAGAGAGTAGATTAGAAAAAACTTAATATATTAAAGTTTTTACAGTGTTATTTCTGAGCAAGTAAAAAAAAAAAAAAAAAAAGAAAAAAAAAAAATTAATAAATTAAATTTTTTAAAATTTTTTTTTTAAAAAAAAAAAAAAAAAAAAAAAGGGTGGAACTGTGTGGAATTATTAAAGTGATTGTGAAGCATATTTATTAACAGTATCATAAAGTACTTTACAAGGAAGCCTAGATTTAGTTGGGTCAAATGGATGTTACAGATACATTGGACATTGTCAAAGGCCTTCACAAAGAAGAGGGTTTTCAGATGAGATTTGAAAGCAGCTAGAGGCTGGGTTTTCCTGAGCTTAGAGATCAGAGTTCCAAAAGTTGTGGGCTGAAACAGCAGTAATGAAAGAGGCTCAAATAGTTGGAAATAAATAGCAAGTAGTAAGGTTAGCAATTTCATGTTGGGAATGTGAGCAGGAAGAGTTTAAAAATCATAATTAAATCAAACAAGGACCCAGAGCACGGAGGCAAGCACAGAGGTGATCCACTGGGATTTTTGTCACAGTGATAAGTCATTCTACATCAGCTGAGGGCAGCAGAAGCAGTGCTGAATCAATAGGACTGAAAGAATCTGGTGGGCCAAACCTCTGACTTATTACAGCTGAATGTTAGCCTATTCAGGACTTAATGGCAGAAAGACTAGCAGAAATTAGCGTGGCGCTGGAATTAGAAGTTGGAATGTTGAGCTCAGCATTATCCACCAAAAACTGCAATACATGTTGTACCACATAACATTCTAAAAGAAATGACTTCTTCATTGAGATTATACACAACAGCAATGGTTTGCTTTAGTTGGTGTACCCCGCCTCTCGCCCAATAGGCTCCAGCCCCCCATAATGTTTAATTAGACATCAATGTGGCATTTTTGGTTGGTGGGGATTTATTTTAAGTAATTCAAGACTGTGACTCCAAGACCTAAACACAAGAGGGCACTATCAGCATGCACATCCTTCTGAAAACAACAAGTTGCTTGATTCAACTTCTTAACCGTGCCATCCAGATAAAAACGAAAGACATAGAAGCATCATTTAAACTTGAATTTTGTGTGTTAATTACCCAAGAACTGGACAGCGAAGTAGCAGGCTTCACTAAGCAGAGTCCACTGGATGATGACCTTTTCTGCAGTGTAGAGACCGTTCCACATAATGAGGGCCAGGCCTAGAAAAGAAAATGATGAAGGGGATTATAGGTTAGCAGTTTAGGAGCATGGGAATAGAAAACAGAGGAAGCTCACAGAAGTGAACCCTCACTTGTGCGTGAGCATTTCCACACTCAACATTGCACAAGAACACTTATCTTGGTGCTGCGAATTTGCAGCTATAAATTTATATATATAATATAAATCTGTCTTGGCATGTTCACAGGATGGTCAGTGACGTAGCTAAATTCTCTCTATGACTCACTGATTCTTATAAAAGCTTGTGCTCGGTCATTTCAATCCATAGCCTTCCTCAGGTCCTCCTTCCCTGCATTTCTTTCCCACCAACACAGAGCCGAGAGGCTGAGGAAACAAGAAGGGGTGGGCAGCGAGGTGGGAGGGCTGATGGACCGCATCCTCTCCCTGCTAGGATCCATCTGTGAAGCAGATGAGACCCCATCCTTCACCCCCTCTATCACACCTTATCTTATCACTCTTTCTCTCTGCTAATCCCCAAAGCTCTGCTGACATTTCTAATAATGATGTCAGGCTTTTGTTGGCCTTATGAAGCCTGTATATTTATACCGCCCCTGTACAGTGCTCCGTATAATAGTTTATACTTTCAAAAGCAAAGCATTAATGCTGCATTGTTTTAATTGTGCCCCCACCCCATTCTTCTCAATTTTCATCACCAATTAAGCAAGAAATCCATATGTGCAGCATCATAAATATACACTATATAGTCTGGTACTCTGACTCACAGTATGTCCTCACTCAGAGGTGACACCTCAGAAGAATTTGCTGAATATATGCAAAGCTTGTTCACACTTTTATTTTCCATGCCTTCCCTGTTTAGCCTCCCATGATGCTCACCGTGTGATTTAAATGTCCCTTTCTCATATCAATCTCTTCACATAGCTATAACAACCCCTAAAATCCCCTGACCGACAGCCCAGGCACAAATTAAGGCCATTACAGTAATTGCTATCTTCTATCGAAACGCATTCTTGCTACGAGGGGAGCAAAGCACAAATGCTATCATTAACTGGCACATTTACAATCACTTATGAACGCGGTATGACAAAACAGTGAGGGGGAAGCTTAATTTATCTGTTTTTCAAAATAAAAACTCAAATGAAGCATAGCACATTCCCTCTTCTGAGTTCCAAGCCAGCTCATGTACACAAACACACACACACACAAATCCAGCACTCACTGTGATGCCACCCCCCATTGAGTTCCCACCAGATTTAAACCCGATATATGACACCACAGGGGGAAAGAAAAAAAGAAAAAAAAAAGACCTAACTGAGCCATTATCCTTTTATATTCTGGAGAACTAGTCCCTGTGTCACTAGTATTCCTTAATAGTAAATCTTACAAACAGAATGACAACATATTGTGCAGACTGTTGCCTACACAGTGTTTTTGTTTAAGAAAGACAGCCCTTCATCCCTTCCTTGGATAAGTGTGTGGGGGATTTCTAATGAATGCATTAGAACCTATAATCATAGGAGAGCCCATGTAGCTTTGTAGTCCATACTTGTGGCAGTTATATCAATAGAAATTTTAAAAAGTTTGCACCAACATCACTGCAGCACAATGAAAGCATTCACTCACAGTAACTGCATCAGCAGTGCATGGGACTATGAATACCCCAGTCTTCTTTTTGCAACTTTGGACTGAGACTTACTAAGTAGAGCTCCTCCATAAAGGCGAACAGAGATGCTGGTCGTGGAAAGTTCCTCCTCAAAAACAACCTCATATAGATGGTTGGGAAACACCAGAGCCTGTGTGGGAAAACAAAAGCACAACACAGCTCCGTCATATCGGCACAGCAGCATTCTGTCCTTCCCAAAGTCTTCCAGTTTGTGAGATAGTGTCACTGTGCATGCCCAGAACACTGAGGATATTGAGAGTTTAGAAAGTAGGGCTGACAAAGACGGAGCTGTTTCTCTCCATGACCTTCAGTGATAAGCGGAAAAAGAATCTACAATGGCTGGGAAGCTCGAATTGCAAAATGTGTCTCTTCCAGTAGCTAAAGAGAGAAGTTTTCTTTCTCATTACTGTTTTTTTTCTTCTTTTTTTTTCTGTCGATGGCTACCATCAACCTGACGTGAATGTAACAACATGGTGTAGAATTTAAACAACACTCACCATCAAAGCCATTGCAGTGAAACCCACAGCGGAGACGAATATCCACACTCTGAGAGGAAACACATAGCACCACATGAGGTATCCTTCCTACAACAAATACTCTGGTCGTACATTTGCACTCTCGGAATTGACAGTATGTTGAACTTTACTCAAAGTGATACACAGATGATTTTACTCAGTCAGCTGCGTTGTGAGACCATCTGGCCTGGCGAGCAATCTCACCTCAGCCCAATAGGCTCTCGCAATGCAAACTTCGTCTCATTTCCAAGCATCTGACTGATCTGTGAACAAACGGAAACGAAAAGGGAAAAAAGTTATGAGAGGATAAATGTTTTCACTGTCTTGTTGAACAAAGAGGTATTTATTTCGTGGAGACGTTAAAAACAAGAATAACAAGCCCTAAGGGGGAGAACTTCATGTGTCGAAGTTGGACAGAAAAGAATAACAAATATTTGTAGTGAAAAAAAAAAAAAAAAGGCTGACCAATATGTTAATGACAGAATGTAAACGTGCTCGTCTTCATCACCTCCAGAGAATTGTCTCTCACATCTCACAATGAATTCTTGATGAATGACTACCATGCCACAGGAAAAACATTACTTGTGAAATATTACCTTCACTGTTAAAGGCTATACTTATATCTTTAAATAGCGCAAATTGGAAAACTGCATTAATTCTACTCCGTTCTGTTAAGATAAACAGCCCTTTAACGTTTGCTCTTGAGTCTATTAATTTGGCAAGTTGAAAGTTTCTCATTTCAAGATTGTGAAAAACATTAGGGTAAATAAAACATAAATACTTGCCATGTGACTTGCTTGCAGCCTGGCTTGTTTGTCAGTTTCTTTCCCTGTTAATATGATTTAAACTACCCATCTCAAGCTCATCAAATATTTATTTTGAGTGCACTGGATCAGGGCTTTGTAATATTTTTAGATAAAGCAATTTTGTTTTATCCAGAATAAAATATCAATTTTCTTTCTTACAACACTTTTTTTTCCCAAATGATCTCCTGGGGCAGCATATTTTACATTAGCTGACCAACACCCAAATGTGGGATGATTTCCATGTGACATCTGGCATTTTATGTCTCACTCCTCATTCATTTGAAAGGAGGACAGTGCAGACAAATACAAGAAAAAAGCAGTTTAGAGCTCAAGACATCAGTTTCAATATTTTATTCACACAAGCATAGTCTCAAGCAATATAAAACAAACCAAAAAAAAATAAGAAGACAGTAAGGGTACTGACCCTTGAAGATTCTCTTGAATCACTTTTACCACCCAGCATTTTACAATAGCAAGAAGAAGAAGAAAAATGTGATGTGCGTGGAATGAATTGGACAAAAAGGAATCTGATGTTTCACCACCCTTTCCTATATAAGATTCTAAAGCATTTGTATCTGGCAGCTGCTTTATATGCTTTTTGGGAAGGAGCTATAAGAAGACTACCAAATCCCTAAAATTAGTCACATAAACAGTTGCGGACTAAAGTCATTATGTTCTTCGTTATCTTCAGCTGAATGCTGTATTATGCATCCATCAGTACCAGCTGTGATCACATGACCAGGTGAATCAGTCTTCCTGTGCCATGATTCCAGGGGCTGTTTTTGACAGGAACATATGAATATTCATGACAAACATGCAAAGGGATCGGAGCGTTACATGATTGCACTGTTTGGCTCGGGATGTGAAGGGCAATCAGCATAAAAAGATGCAGATACAATACTACCGGTGCAGAGCATTACCTAAACAAACAAAAAAAACAACAGCAAAGAGCTGGCTCATCTGTCAATTAGTTAGCCACTGAGCATGAGGTCTGTGAAGTTACAGGAAGAATACATTTGTCCCAGTGGTAGCCCTCAGGCACAGCATAAAGACAATACACCATGGTGTTAACTTGTGAGGGCCTGGGCACATGCTGCCAGGGCTTGTTTGTTGCAACATCACTTTAGCAGCAAGTCATTGCTTAAAGAAGCCGTTGGTGATACCAGTAACACGTCAAACAGGATCCCTTAAGACAGCTGCACCACAACAGGGCAGGTATAAATAAACGGTTCCATTTTGTCACACTCTTTGCAATAGGAATAGTATTCTTATCAGTAAAGAAGGCAGGAAGTGACAGTCAGCAGACTAGAGCACCACTTCCCCCCTTTGTTTATTGGGACCACAAGGATAAAGTGAACCATTTCCTTTCCACACCAACTTATGCTGCCAGTTTTACTTTGAGATTGGATGCAGCTGGCCTCTTTGCAACAAAAAAACCTGTGGCAAGGTTGAAAGGAAAAACAACAGCAATTGTACAATGGTGGAGTAAATTTACAGTGTGACAGCAACCATTTCATTCTCTAATAGGTTCAATGCCATACTTGGATAAGGAAGTCTACTGTTAAGAAGCACCATGAACAACAGTCCACATTAGTCGTTTCATTGCACTTTCCGCTGAATGCTAATGTATCACCATTTAGTCATAACAATGAGCATCTAATCTTAAAATGCTTCCCTTCAGCAAATATTTGACTGTGTCAAAGATGTTAAGTTTTTCTCCTTATCAATATTTGTATCTCTCCATGAATATGGTCCGTGAAAAGGATTTTAGTGACAGATGTCTGGCTCAGGCTCTGTGCTAAAACATTGAGAGAGAAAAAAACAAACACTGGGGAGGGCTGAGAAAAGGGGACTGACATCTCATCACCAGCCATCAGCCACCACCGTATGCCTGCTCCCTTCTGTTCCCTTCCTTTCTCACTTGCCCAATTAATATTTAAGAACTGTAAGCTGCGTTTGTGCACATTGTGATGCAATCTTCTATAAAAAACAAAAATAAAAAAAAGATTTAAAAAAATCTGAATCCAGCCTGCATGAACCTCACAAATGATTGTGTCTGCATCAACGAAAACAGCCTGTGTGTCCTATAATTTTGGCTCATATGTATCTACAGACACATTTGAAGAAGTAATGTAACACATGAGATGAAAGAGGCAGACTCCCCCCCCAGGGGAACCGGTCACATCTCAGTGAGGCTGTTGTTTAGAGGATTACATGATCTAGATTTTTCAGCCTTGTGTAGTAAATACAGGCAGAGTCAGATGGCAATTAGTGACCCTGTGGCTTTTTAAAAGGATCCAAAGCTTTTCTCGAAAGTTAATAAATGCATCTACAATGCACTGGCATTTCTTGTTTGTGCACTGATGAAAAAGATATCCATTTGACTAATGATAGCTCAAGTCAAGTGCTTATGCACATCACAGAGTCGTTTGCTGCTCTAATGCCATCGGCTTTCAAGTCTGTCGTCTGCTCATATTGAATAAACTGACTTATGTTCATCTAAAGTAATCTGACCTTTGAGCGGTGCACTTCCCCATCATCATCTTCACCACCAACTCCAAGGATCTTCCGGCTCTTCAGGCGGCTTATCAAATCTGTCTGACTGTGCTTCTTCATGAGAGGAGCGTGAGGTTTAGACGCCATGTCGCACACCTGACACAGAAGAGGAAGAAAAGGAACACGGTTGGTATTGTTGGAGGAGATAAAGATATAAAAAGAGTACATAAAAAAAAGACATTTTCTTTTTGAAGAAGGCCCCTCTGGAAAGCAAAGAGAGGAAGTGCTATCTACCAATCTACAAGTAATTCCTTTGAGGAATTGGGTTATGTAAGAAAATGACATAATAAAAGTCGTGCAAATACAGGCAACCCTCTTAATCGGGGTGGAAGCAAGAGCCAGATGCCCTCCTGGTCTGATGAGCCAGACAACAGACAGAGCTGCTCGCTCAGGATGAAAGAGGATCCGATGGTAACACGCATAGAAACACATGTAAATGGAGTAGGACTTTCAGGAAACTGAAGGTCTAACCGTCCATACTGATCCAGGGTGTCATTGACTACATGTAATTCAGTCCCTGAAATATGGTTTTGTGGTCTACAAAGCAGTTTTCTCCCATGATGACTGGGCACACATCTTAATTTATATGGCTACTGCACTGTAGTCATTTATCTAAAAGCATTGCCATCATTTGCTTGATCACTCTGTATTCATAGCTTTTCCCAATTATTTCACACCAATATGTGACCACCTTGCACACTTAGCATTTTCTAAAGAAATTTCAGTTTAAAAATAAGTTTAGTTGCTTTTAAGTTGAGATAAATCATTTATCCTTACTTCTATTACATCTAACTAAAAACCAGCTGTGGCATTACTGAACTGCAAAGATCAACTGTGCAAACGGATTGAATCGAGACAAATACTCAAATCAAGAGAGAACACCAGCTCAATAACCTGTGCCATATTTTATCTGGAGCCTAAAAGGCAAACAAACATGTGGATGCACACAAGAACAGAAAGTGACAGCAAAAAATTGATGACTGCACCACAGGACAGTTCTCTGGGGGAGAAAAACAGGGGAAAACTTCTTCTTGCTATCCTCATCCTTGATGAGGATAGCATCTCTAACAGTTTTTTTTTTTTTTTTAAATAATCAGACTTACAGGAAACAGCTCAAAGCCTATGAAGGGAAGCAGGCACACCACGTCAGTAAATGTAAACCAACAGTTAGATTACATAGATAATAATTAAAAAAAAGATACATTGGCGCTAAAACAGTTTTTACAAAGAGATATTTGTCAGTAAGCAGCACAGTTGTAGAAATAACTTCTCATTGTTCCAATGAAAAATGTTGGTTAGTTATTATTCTGTTAAAAATGTTACTGTACTGGCATGGGGGATTTCATACCACTATTAGGAGGTGACATAAAAAGTTATACATGTACAAATCTAAAATAACTCTACGCATTGGAATAGAATGGATAGCAGGAATACACAGTTTTCGTTGTCAATAATCCAATTACATTTGGGCACAAAGTCAAATGGCAATCCCCACAGTGGCCTTATCTCAGCGTTTTGTGCATTCCATGCAGGGTGTCCCATTTCTTTTAGGTATCAACTGGAGATTTTAATCTTCAAACTCACCCTGCAAACCGAGAATTCTCAGATCCAGACACCCAGTGGAGTAGTAATAGTTTTCAACTCTTTGTTCTTCTTATCTTTATCCTGAAGGGCCACCACCCAGACGAGGGTCCTCAAAAACCAAGGATCGGTAATCCGAGACTGGGCCTTGAACAAACTATCAACAGTGCAATGCACAATAAAAAGAAAAAGGAAGAAAAAGAAGGCTCAAACATATTGCAAAAGGATTAAAATGTGTCTTTCTTTCTTTGTTAATTAAAAGTTCCCCCGCCCCCCAAAATAAATAAATAAATAAAACCCATGGAGATCTTGAGCAGCCCACACAATTAGACCTGAAACTGGATCCAATCTATCATATCACACAGTATATTTGTCATCTCATATTGTTAAACAAAATTAAATGTATGTAACATCCCTATTCAAATAAACAAAGAGACAACTCCCCCCCCTATTCACCACCATATTATCTGAGGCTGCAGAGATGGAAATAATCTGCATTGGTAGAGCAAACAATTCTCACACATGGTAAAATACCCTCGGATGTCTCTCCCCCTTTCAGTGTCCCCATTGGTACTCCTTGACTTGCAAGTGAAATGCTAATACAGTTGCCTAGCAACTACCGATGGACATACTGGATCTTCTAAACTAAAAAGCACCTTCCATGATTGAAACAACCTTTGACCACAAAGCCTCTATGGAGAGCCATTACTGACCCAGTCACATGCTTGGCTGACATAAGTAATTCTTTGATGAATTAAGAATCTTTCATGTTTGTACATTCTCAAGGTAACACTTTTTTCCCCCTCAGTGTTTCTGACTGACAGTAGAAAATAACATGTACCTTTTTTTCTAGAGATTTTAAGAACACCCACATATTTGGTAAAGCAAATATTGCCTTAATGGATTCGATTTTTGACAAAAGCCAAAAAAGACAAAAGAAAAAAAAAAAAAAAACTTAAGAGGACTTTGGACATGTTGGTGTTCAACCTGAAAAGGTGAATATCAGCAATGATTTAAGAAAATTACAACCCCAGAATGTAGTGGGGGGAAAAAACCCTGCTTCATATGAAAAGCGAGGATATTACAAGAAAAGGAGCAAAATCTCCGGAGGCCTCTGGTTAGCAACTAGAAAGATGTTGAGCAGAAAATAATTGGCATAGTAATAATTATAGGTACAAAGCCATGTGGGGGTGTGGAGGAAGAATTGTGATCAAATGTGTTACTCAAGACGAAAAGATTATTAAACATTATGCTCATCTTCTCCTTTTTCCCCAAAGAATCAGAGGCTAAATCATCTCTAAATTACCACACCATCATTTTTGGGACATTTCACAGTACCACATGGTTCCCAGATTCGAGATGGCACAAGCAACACTTATTTTCCAACCATGGAAACCGGGATGGGTTGTATTTGTGAGTATCCATGTCACACGTTGGCATAAGTTTGTGATGACGTAGGATAAAATGTAGTTTAAGGGCAAAAGTAATATTTTTGTGAACACTCCCCACCACCATTCTTGACTCCTGATGTATCCGTGTACATCCAATCCTATTACAAGGCATAATATTTTTCCCTGCATTTTTCCCATATTATCACAATGAATTAACTAAGAAGCATCAGCAGAATAAATCATGGCTGAAGTCATGTGATTCAGTCTACTTCCTGGAACAAGTGCTAGGTTGTCATGTGACTGAACAGAACCAGAAAGGGCTGTAGGTTGATTAAATACACAGTTTAGTGTACATCCACATATAGCTGGTACTTGACATGTAAATGTGAAACTTCACTCGGAAGACTACAAATTAAGGTCACAAGCTCTTCCGTCATATCTCTGATATTGAGATGCGAGAAGGTGATTTACTCGAAATCACTCCAGGATGGTGCTTTCTGAAATTTGATTATCTGCTGTGTTCTTTTGTGATTTCACACTTAAGCGGTTTTGCTCAGAAAATATGAGCTTTTACTGATGTTTATATAAACCTCTCTAAGATCTCTCAATCAGCATGTTGTGCAGAAATGCCACAAGCATCTCAGAGAGCATGGCTCTGCATCCTGTGATTTTGAGAACACATTTCAAGTTCTTGATGACTCTTTCAATCATTCATGATTGGCCATGTGGTTTATAACAATTGCCTGAGATGAAACTTACTGAGAATCTACATTTATTTTGGCCTCCCTATAACTTTGCATTGACTACAAATAGTGAAAGACTACAAGTTTCCTCTTGATTTGTCATTAACTCATTCGCTGCCAAAGACGTCTATAGACGTCTTTTATGTTTTTCAATGCGAGTGGCTTGGGGGACGATCGGCGAAGGTTTTTCCGTAAATATCGGCTTCTAGACAGAGTATGGACTAACAAATTTACCCTCTAGGTAGCTGTGCCACTTTTGATGGGAGATTAGCATAGATTGTATGCAAATAAAAACAAACGCAATGGTTCGCTATGAGAGAAATGGCGCCGGTGAGACGCACGTCGAAGAAGAACGGAATAAGGTAGAAACAAAATCTTTTTTCCTGATGAAAGAAGAGAGTCTACTCTTTCTTTTGGTGTGTTCGGTGTTTACATAGTCATAGCACAAACTATTCTGTGGCTCTTGAAAAATCAGTCAAAATTCTCAAAAAACTCTGGCAGTGAGCGACTCTCTGTTCTGAAAATGGCTGGCAGTCAATGAGTTAATTGTAGAGCTTTTTAAGACCCATTTGGGAGTTTTCCTCCTCATTTGAAAAAACAAACAACAGTTACCAATAACTACAGATGAAAAAAAAAAACTCATTCATCATTGCCAGTATTTTTAACAAACATCATAATCAGCTATCTAAGAGACACCTCCCTGCATTCATCTCTTATTATTTCATATCTTTTTTATATCTACTACACACTTTAAGATAAAATTATTTAAAGAAAAATGTCCTTTTTGTCCTAACCCTAAGTGTAAAACCTAACATCTAGCCCCCTTGCCATGAGTAACACGGTCTCTTAACAATAATCTGTGAAAAAGAGCACGTGGATCCTTAAATAAATCAAGATATCCTGAAAAGGACCCAGACAAGCAAACTATATGGTGTGAATGGAAAGATTGATCTTGTAGATGTAAACAGCTGTCCAGGAGTGCTGAAAGCCAGGCTTTTTCAAAGCGCCAAAACTAATCGTTTCCCTGAATGGCAGATGATGGCCTGACATGCTGTGAAGGATTACAGATAAGGTTCAATTGAGGCAAAAAGGAAGAAAGGCAAATAAAGGTAGAAATAGAACCTCTGACAGTTTGGAATTCCCACAAGGATAAGGTAGTTGATGATTAATTTAAATGAGTCAAAGCAAAACACAAGTGTATGTTTTGTAAAATGCAACGGATAGGTGAAACAGGTACATCTTATTTATCTTTAATGGTTCAGCGACCTGGACAAAGTTGAAAATACAGCGAGACCATCCATGGACAATAACCATGGAATGAACAGGCTGTAATGATGTGGGGATTTAGAGTTTCCCTGCTTAATCTGCAGATATTACAATCTCCCGCAGT